TCAGCCAATTCGAGCATTCCTTCAAGTGACTCAGCCTTCCTCTCTTTCAAGTACAGCGACAGGCTTGGGTGGCAACTAGTAAGAAATTGTTCTCTAATTAGGAGTTCTCGAAGTTCATCGAACTCCTGCGCTGTCCCTGAAAGTTCAATCCATCTGTCGAAATAATGGCAAAGTCGGGCGGCATACTGCGTAGCTGTCTCCCCATCAGCTGGCTTTCCTGTCCTAAATCTGTCCCGGAATCCTTCCACGGTAAATCTAAATCGCTTCAGCAAAGCAGCTTTCACCTTTGCGTAGTTGGCTGCATCGGTCGGCGTCAGCCTACCGTACACACTGAGCGCTTCACCACTCAAGCAAGTACTCAAAGCAGTTGCCCATTGATGTTCCGGCCAATTCTGGCTCTTCGCAATCGTCTCAAATCGGTGAAGGTACGCGTCAAGGTCGTCCTTCCTTTCATCAAACGCTACGAGCAGCTTGCTTGGGTTCAAGCGGAAGCCGTGATCTTCCCGTTCGCTGCTTTCAACTCTAGCTTGGACGGGAGTTTCGCTTCGCTGTTGCAAACGGAGCCGCTCGAGTTCCATCTCGTGCTGACGCTGCCGTTCCCTTTCCTCTCTTTCTTCTTTCGCCCTCTCAGCTGCCAGTCTTTCTTTCTCCAGCTCCAGCTTCAATTGCAGCTCTCTTTCTTCTTTCAGCTGTCGCTCCCTTGCCTCTCTTTCTTCTTTCAGCTGTCGCTCCTTTGCCTCTCTTTCTTCTCTCGCCCTTTCAGCTGCCAACTTTTCTCTCTCCAATTCCAACTTCAATTGTTGCTCTCTTTCTTCCTTCTCCCTCGCAGCTGCCAACCTCTCTCTCTCCAACTCAGCTGCTTTTTCTTCCTTGGCTCTTTCAGCTGCCAACCTCTCTCTCTCCAACTCAGCTGCTTTTTCTTCCTTGGCCCTCTCAGCTGCCAACCTCTCTCGTTCTAACTCAGCGGCTTTTTCTTCCTTGGCTCTCTCCGCTGCCTCTTTCTCCTTCTGGCTTACCCACTTCCGTAGTTCGGCGCCAGAAAGACCCATCTTCTCGCCAAGAGCAACTAACTTTTCGAGATCCATTGTGTCTCGCAAATAAAACCTTGCCGCGTGCAAAAAGTATCTGCCTAGATCCGTCTATCGGAACACTCCCCTGCACTCGTTAACGAGAACACTGAACAACACACAAAATCGTTCCGATAGCACTATCAACAACTCGAGGCTCTTTCTCACTACTTTGGACACACTGTGCACCAAAAGGTCCTGTTTCGCGGACGCCAGATTAATTGTCGCACCCGTCCCCGTTAATTAGGGAGGCGATCGCCGGGCTAATTCCAAGGGCCGAAGTATCGGCCCCCCGAACCGCACCACGAAAGCGTGGACAATTTAGAAGTGGTCCTTTTTGGCGCGCCAGCGGACGCCGGCTGTGGCCCAAAGAACAAGTCAGAGCCGAGAGTTGATAAACAAACAAATTATATTCTCAATAATGGCAGATCGAAAGCAATACACAAAAATGCACACTCCACAATAGTTGCATACAATATGTCACCAATCAAACCAATCAATCAACGTACTACACAATACAATCAGCCACACTTGAAACAACGGACGCGGACAACAATACGCACTACAATGCAGTCGCATGCATTGAACAACCAAGACACTTAAAGACTAGAGAGATAGAAAACCTATTCAGTCCAAAGTTCTTGGAACCAAAGTCTAGATGATACTCTTCCGAGAATCACTCACTCAAAGTCCAGCGTTGTTGTCGTTCCGCAGCCCTCGAAGTTTCTCTTCCAGGAAACCTCCCGTCTTCAATTGGCCACTCTTCAAACTTCAACTTCTTCGCCGGAACACGTCGGCTTCACACCCGCAGCTGTTGCCACGCGTCTTCGCTCGATAGCGGTAAACACACGCTCTTGCCTGTAGCCCGAGCCTTCACCCCTCAGGTGGAAATCCTCTTCATCTCCGGCTTCGTCCCTACGGACCAAAACCTTCACCGACTACACGGCGGAATCCATACGCGCTCTGGCGTTAACTTCCGTCTCCTCCTGCTTTCTCATCTCGGCTGCTCGGTTAAATACCTTGCGCGCGGCATTCCAGACGCTTCTCGTCATTTCGTCGGCGCGATACGCAGCGAAAGCTGGGAAGAGGGCGAGACGGTTGGAATGCCCTCTCCGGCCGATGAGTCAACTCGGTATGACCACGCCCCTTTCGTTCTGGAAAAATCGAGTGCTTGCTCGGCCGCCGTTGTGGGGTGAGGAGGTTCGTCGTGAAGCCACGCTTCTGCGGGGAGAGCCAGCGCCACCTGTTCTAGGTGGCTTTGGGAGAGCGCGCGCCCGGGGAGCCTTGGACGTTTGCTTTCTTTTTTTTTCTTTTGACCTCGCGGCGTTTCTCCCGCCCGTTATCGCAAGAATTTGGCGGCGCGCCCGTTTTTTAGCGCTCGTTCTGTGACATCAGGTAATAGAGAAATGCTCAGAGTATAACCAACCACTATACATAGTCTTCATAGATTACGAGAAGGCGTTTGATTCAGTAGAAATATCAGCCGTCATGCAGACACTGAGGAATCAGGGCGTAGATGAAGTATATATAAACATTCTGGAAGAAATGTACAGGGGATCAACTGCTACCATAGTGCTTCATAAAGAAAGCAACAGAATACCAATCAAGAAGGGTGTAAGGCAGGGGGACACAATCTCCCCAATGCTATTTACCGCGTGCTTACAGGAGGTTTTCAGAAGCCTAGAATGGGAACAGTTAGGGATAAGAGGTAATGGAGAATGCCTTAGTAACCTGCGCTTCGCCGATGACATTGCATTGCTGAGTAACTCAGGGGACGAATTGCAACTCATGATTACGGAGTTAGACAAGGAGAGCAGAAAGGTGGGTCTTAAACTTAATCTGCAGAAACGAAAGTAATGTACAACAACCTCGGAAAGGAGCAGCGCTTCGAGATAGGTAATAGTGCACTTGAAGTTGTAAAAGACTATGTCTACTTAGGGCAGGTCATAACCGCAGAGCCGAACCACGATATTGAAGTAACTAGAAGAATAAGAATGGGGTGGAGCACATTCGGCAAGCACTCTCAAATTATGACAGGTAGATTGTTACTATCCCTCAAGAGGAAGATATATAACAGCTGTATCTTGCCGGTACTTAGCTACGGAGCAGAAACCTGGAGACTTACAAAGAGGGTTCAGCTTAAATTGAGGACGACGCAGCGAGCAATGGAAAGAAAAATGGTAGGTGTAACCTTAAGAGACAAGAAGAGAGCAGAGTGGATTAGGGGACAAACGGGGGTTAAGGATATCATAGTTGAAATAAAGAAGAGGAAATGGACATGGGCCGGGCATGTAGCGCGTAGACACGATAACCGCTGGTCATTAAGGGTAACTAACTGGATTCCCAGAGAAGGGAAGTGGGTTAGGGGGAGACAGAAGGTTAGGTGGGCAGATGAGATTAAGAAGTTTGCGGGTATAAATTGGCAGCAGCAAGCACAGGACCGGGTTAACTGGCGGAACACGGGAGAGGCCTTTGTCCTGCAGTGGACGTAGTCAGGCTGATGATGATGATGATAGCAGTTCCTGCGGTAATGTTTTCCCAAATGAGAAGCAGCAAAACAGGAGCACCACTGCGAGATAAGCTCGCACGTTTATACGCTCCTGCTGAACAAGTTCCTGTATATGCAAAATATGCAGGAATGCACGATACTGCATCTTCAAGTTCATTTAACGAATAGCAATCGTCACGAATCTTTCAACCCGACGCAGTGTTTGCCCATCTTTGCGATACTTGCCACCAAACAAGTAATAAGAAAATCCTCCTCTATTGTCCGTCAGACAAATCTGCTACCTTTGACACCACGTGATCGGAAACTCTTCGTATAGGTGCGATAGGCAATCTGTGACATTTTCTGTAGAGTTTTGATTCTGTTAACTTGCTTCTTTATAGGACAAAATGTGTTGTAATTGCAATTGTATGGTGATATCCGCATTCAATACAGCGCAACGAGAAACGCACACACACAAAAAAATCACAGCATATCCAGGGAGTGAATGATGGTTAGTGGGGCGAAGCGCTCGTCAATCCGTCCGTGTGTCCATCTGTCCATCCGTCCGTGCTTCTGTCCCCGCGTCTGTCTGTCTGTCTGTCTGTCTGTCTGTCTGTCTGTCTGTCTGTCTGTCTGTCTGTCTGTCTGTCTGTCTGTCTGTCTGTCTGTCTGTCTGTCCGTCCGTCCGTCCGTCCGTCTGCCTGCCTGCCTGCCTGCCTGCCTGCGCGCCCGCCCGCCCGCCTGCCCACCCACCCGCCCGTCTAGCCATCCGTCCATCTAGTCAACACTCCAAGTACCGCCATCCAGTGGACATTGCAAGGACTAAACGAAATGTGGCTACTACTACTACTACTACTACTACTACTACTACTACTACTACTACTACTACTACTACTACTACTACTACTACTACTACTACTACTACTAGTAGTAGTAGTAGTAGTAGTAGTAGTAGTAGTACTGCATACATACATACATACATACATACATACATACATACATACATACATACATACATACATACATACATACATACATACATACATACATACATACATACATACATACATACATACATACATACATACAATCAATCAATCATCGGGGACGCACGACCCACGGCTTAGGAGCTTTGCCCCTAAAACGCAACGAAGAGCACACTTTGTTATTATTGTTCTTTGTTCCTTAGTACATCTTGAGCTAGGCCATTTATTTTGTCACTTCTGTCACTTCCGTTACTGTTAAGCAGTTCAATGTGAGTTGCATGCATGACCTTTTGAGGCTTCAAGAAGGGAAGTTTTCTTGCACTTGTAACTTGTACACATACAAACCAAACAACAAAAACTGGTAAAAGCAATGTATACATCTTACAAATGAGCACTAAAACACCAGTTTATCTTTGTGTATCCGAACGTTGCAAGTGACGTGCGCATTTTGTTGCGCAGAATACACAGTCACGTCTCCATCCGTTACGGAGGGTGAGCCGTCAACTAACCAGCAAACGACATATTTTGTCACAGGTGAGTACTGGTTAAGCTGTTTGCGGTAATTGTGGTTCCTTGCGGAATATGCGTTGTAGGAGGTGCTGTGACAGAGATTGAGATGTCAGAAAATATTTTAATCTGTTGCTTTTCACAAAGTTATCATCTTTTACACAGCTTCAAATAGAAACAACGAAAAATTATGTGTATATCAAAATTGAAGCTCAACTATACTACTGAGTTTTCCCTATTATTTCACTTCTTTAACTTTACAAAACGTTGAAAGCACGTGACTGACTTCGCTGTCGGTGTCGCTTCTTTGAAATATATGTTTAGATCTTACTATCTTTTTATCTTACATTTTTCATTACAATATTTGTAGTTTTGGCAGGTATTTTTTTCGCTTTTGATTGTTCTTTCTCTCTGTTCCTTCTAACATTGGTAGTGCTTGACGTTTCCCATACTATAGAATGAGAAAAAAGATGGAGGAACTTTAGCGTTCGTACAACACTACTCGCGACGCTTATTTGGGGCAAACTCTGAATGGTTCACGGTATTTGTTCTTCTATTTCAAGACTCTTCGACCGTGACCCCTAATCCGACCGCAGTGAAAACCGAAACTACGTCACAGGAGGAATGCTCGGAATGCGCGGGTGAAGACACCACGAGCGCGGCTACTACTTCGGTGGCTGGAGCCATCACCTCAACTACGCCTGCGCCGACTCCTTCAACCGAGACCGAACAACCAACCGATCACGTACGCGACGCTACGCCTACTCCTGGAGTCAACACCATAACCCCAGACGTCGGCAAGGCCGGGCCTCCGGCGCCAGGCTGCGTTTCCCATTGGACGGAGTTTTACAACATTGACAGCCCTGACGTCGACGACGGCGACGTGGAGTCGCTGGAAGACATCAAGGAGCTCTTCGCGGTCTGTGAAGGGCTCACCATTGAAGACGTGGACTGCATGGCCAACATAGGGGACAACATGACCGACTACCGCAACACGGGAGACGTGGGAGTCAAGTGCTCCAAGGGCACAGGCCTGGTGTGCCTCAACTGGCTACAGCCCCGCGGAAGGAAGTGCCACGATTACGCCATCAGGTTCTTCTGCAAATGCGGTACGCCTTTAAAGAAAGTGCGCTTATTGGTGATGCAAAACGAAATGTGGTAGAAGCATGATGAGTGCCTAAAGGAATGCGGCACGCCGTTCTGCGAGATAAATAATGGGTTTCCAGAAGGAGAAATTGATAGAAAATACAATAAGAGTAGACATTTATTAGGCATGAGATCACATGTTCCTAAGCCCGACACATGTATTTAAAGTGTTGTGCACTGTATATAGCTTTAGCAAATACGTGATTAACTGCACATGTATTCACTGTGGTGGCTGGTAAGTTGGAGGCCTAGTCAACTTTGCGAGAGGAGGTAGTTCATATTTTGTAATGCTGCTCTTAAAGTGTTGCCAATTAGAATCATTCGGTGAATGAGGAGTGTGTGGTTATGAGGCAGCTTATTTTGTGGGCAGCTGTTGTAGAACATTGATGCAGAGCATGGGTAACGTTGGTCAGCTTCTTGCTTAGAACCAAGATAATGATAATAATTGGTCATTTGTTACTTTTCTTTACTAGATGTATGTAAAGAGAGGTTGGTGCTAATGCGTGGCGCCGGCTACTCCTCTTCTCTTGCACAACAGTACTTTAATTCTGCTGATGCATACATTTTCTACAAAATTGTATTTTTGACACTTATTGAAACTGAATTTTTTTGGGGGGGGGAACCTAATACACTGGTGAACAATATTGAAAAAAGCCTACTGAGTAATGGTTATCGGTAGTAGTCAGGATCACAACAGGGCTCCAAGTCGGTAGAGATAAACGAACAAATGTTTTCACATTCGAAATTCCTTCAACCTATGTTTCACTTATATGAAGAGCTCGTGCACAAAGGAAGATATGTGATGGGACACGTTGGTATACCGTTGAAGTCATATAAGCGAGTATGTATAATCCACGGCACGTAATTATTAGAGCAGTGCATGACTACAAAAAAAGTGACACTACTATAGGACAGTACAGGTTTATGCTTCATTATAAACTTGTCATGGCATCACCTGCTTGGATTATTGGTGTCTCGTGGAGCAGGTAAAAAGAAATATAATGCACTTTGTTCTTCTTATTCTTTTTGTGTTTTTTTTGCAGATGTAGAATACGAAGGGACGACAGGCACACACGGTAGGTCTGATTCCTTGCATTTCAGGATAAACGTATGTTTTACAGATATATGGGAAGAAGAGAGAGAGAGAGAAAGTGAAACTGTTAAGGAGATTATGAAGCAATGTCGATTCGCTCTGTACTTGTTTAGCAGAACCTGACAAATTAAGAACGGAATAGATGAATGGACAACGTAAGCTAGAAGCAACACTTTGTTTAATATACAATCACCGAATACAGATTACTCATCATCTTGAGGTTCGTTTTGCAACTACGAATTGCTATCTTTCTGTTATCAAAATTATTCATACACACCTTTCTGCAGCGATACCCTCGCACACATGAGTTCCGAACACGCCTAATTCAAGGTGTAATACGGTCAATCCAGGCAGCGCAGCTTAACTGTCTGCTATCGAATGGTATGGCTGTGACAAGGTGTTATAAATGGAAATCAATGCTAACATTCTCTTTGAAAATGTAGTAGACAACGCTTACACGTCACTCACGAAAGGAATCTTGTTACCAACGTTTATGTATTATGGCTAGTACAAATTTTTTTCTGGAAGTAAAGTTATTTTAGCGCACTAGATTATTTGGTAAACAATGTCAATTTCTAAGGAGGAGGCCATTGCCAAGGATTCCACTCAGAAATTCTACTTAAAGTTGCCTTTCTTTGAAAATAAAAAAACGTTGGCATATTTTTGTTAACTGATATTACAAATCCACTCACTGTGCAGAGTTCACCGTCACTACTTCGTTGACTACGGAACGCCAGCCACAGACATGGGAGCCCACGACTGCCTTTGTTACAGGTGAAGCTGGAATTTATCATTTTAGTACAGTGGTTTGCGGTAGATGAGCGAGCGTGCTCTGCTGGAAATTATTTTTGTTTACGTCGTGACAGTGTCTGACATGACCAGATTGCTTTACTTCTACTTTCTTATACTTGTAGATAAAAAGAGAGGCCTCGGAAAAAATACGAGAACGCGTGAAAGTTTGGATGCGTGCACCGTGTGTAGAGAAGGCTGCAGATGTATAGAAGGTGCAAGATATATGAACCGATTATATTGACAGTATTATATATGTTTGGGAATCCCCGCGTACTTACAATGACGGCACTACACGAAGATTTTTGTCAATATTAAAAAAAAAGTCACAGCTTTGCCGCAGCGGCGAAGCAATGAATGCGATAGCAACAAATCGGAAGGTCACGCGAAGAATGGCAAGCAGATCGAAGCGTGCCCTGAGTTTCTCACGCACAAAAGACGCGCGAAACGTACACACAGGTACAGATTACCGCGAATAAGCGTCTCAGTTGTTACTTCGCTGTGTCTGAAAAGCTCGCCCTTTTCGCAAACGGAGGCTGTGCAACGATTGCAGTTTTTACGCCTGGTAACTGCAATAGAATCGTTACGACGAAACCCCATGGCTTGCGAAGACGTACGATTCTCCCCACCACTGCAAGATAAGGGCACGCGATCGAGCGTACACTCCCTTATTCTCTATGCGAGCCAAAGCATGCGTGAAAGACGAGAGCCGCCACGCGCTCACTGCGCCATCTTGCTGATAATACTGAAAACACGATAGTCCCCCCCCCCCCCCCCCGAGATGCCCGCCAACAGCAGTAAGGGGTAGATATGAATAGCTCGCCGTTTGAACGTCGAAGAAGATACCTTTCGGTGGCTCAAAAATAGAAGGAACCTTTCGGTGACACAGTGGTTAACGCCTCGCATTCACAACGTGGAGGTCCCACGTTCGATTCCGCGCGCCGGAGCCTTTTTTTTCCTGGGATTTCTTTCTTTCTTGCGTTTTCATATATATATATATATATATATATATATATATATATATATATATATATATATTGTTACGTGATTTCGTCTGACTGAAAGAGGGCATAGTGGGGCATACCCAAGTAAGGTGCCTCGGACTGAGAGTAAAGGAGTGGACGTTGTGAGTGAGCTGCGTTGTGGCTGCGGACCGACAACTGTTATTTTCCACGTAACATTTTGGTGGAGGTGCTGGGTACTCTTCTGACAACGGAGCTACGCAGTGGACGCCTCCTTAAGTCTGCTACCATGGCTCCGGGTGAGGATACGGCTTCGCCACCTACCTCAGCAACGACAGCAACCCGGTACGTAGCCCTAACGCAACCCCGTGATCCCGGTACCTTTACTGGAGAGGACAACGTGAATGTGGACAAGTGGCTTAGCATGTACGAGCGCATCAGCAAGCAATATGGCTGGGACCCAACCGTTATGCTTGCGAATGTCATTTTTTATCTTGACAAGACCCCTCGCACCTGGTTTGAGACCCACGAGCACGAAATCACAAGCTGGGAAATGTTTAAACAACAGCTCCGCGACCTTTTTGGCAACCCGTTTGGTCAACAACTTGATGCCCGAAAGCAATTGGCTGTCCGTACACAGACGTCCACTGAGCCCTACTTGACTTATATTCAAGACGTCTTAGCGTTGTGTCAAAGGGCCGATCCCAACATGACTGAGGCCGACAAGATTTCGCACGTTTTAAAAGGAATCGCCGACGATGCGTTCAGTCTACGTGTATTCACCAACGTAACGACCATGGACGCCGTGATCAAAGAGTGCCGCTCGTCGTAACTCGTCGCTTGTCAATTTCGGCTACATGAATCATGTGCTTCCACAAGGCATTTCTGTGGCCCACCTGTGTCCGTTGCTCGATTCACAAATTGAAGTGCTTGCCTTAGACACACTTGCTTCACCGCAGCGCACATCACTCGCAACACATTCGGGCAGCCGTCAAATTGTAGACATGATCGCCACAGATCTTCCGCCTCCGCAATTTGAAGCCCTACAACATCTTCTCGAGGCCTACCAGGATATTTTCGATTTTGGTGACCGACCTCTTGGGCAGACGTCCTTTGTCCAGCATCGCATACACACAGGTGATGCCAACCCTGTTCACCGCCGTCCCTACAGAGTGTCTGCTTTTGAGCGGAGCATAATTCAGAAGGAGGTGAACAAGATGCTAGCGAAGGACATTATTGAACCATCCTCCAGTCCCTGGGCATCCCCGGTGGCAAGGACGGATCGTGGCGATTTTGTGTGGACTATCGCCACCTTAACAACATCACCAAGAAAGACGCATACCCTCTGCCCCGCATTGATGACGCCCTTGATTGCCTCCATGGTGCCGCCTACTTTTCTTCCATCGATCTTCGTTCTGGTTATTGGCAGATTGCCGTGGACCCCATGGACCGAGAGAAGACGGCTTTTGTAACACCCGATGGCCTCTACCAATTCAAAGTCATGCCTTTCGGCTTATGTAATGCCCCCGCCACCTTTGAACGAATGATGGACTCCCTGCTCCATGGATTCAAGTGGTCTACGTGTCTTTGTTATCTGGATGACGTGATTGTGTTTGCTCCCACTTTTGAAGCGCACCTTGAGAGACTGTCAAAAATTCTTGATGTATTCCGTCTCGCCGGCCTTCAGCTGAATTCATCTAAGTGCCGGTTTGGTCGCCGTCGCATTACAATACTTGGACATATTGTTGACGCTTACGGTGTACAGCCTGACCCAGAAAAAGTTCGAGCTGTGAAGGACTTTCCTGTGCCGAAAACCGCCAAAGATGTCCGCAGCTTTGTGGGGCTCTGCTCCTATTTTCGGCGGTTCATCAAGAACTTCGCGGAAATCACTCGGCCCCTAACAGATTTACTCAAACCGGATGAGACGTTTACCTGGGGTCCCTCGCAAGCAGCAGCACTTTCCGACCTGACCACTTGGCTCACTTCTTCTCCTGTGCTGGCTCACTTCGACCCTACGGCACCGACGGAAGTACGCACCGATGCCAGCGGTTACGGAATAGGCGCTGTGTTGGCTCAGCGACAACGTGGGCAGCATCGCGTGATAGCTTATGCCAGCAGGCTGCTGTCCACCTCGGAGCGTAATTATTCCATCACAGAGCGCGAATGCCTAGCGCTGGTGTGGGCAGTCGCGAAATTTCGCCCTTACTTATACGGCCGACCATTTATAGTTCTTACCGACCACCACGCTCTCTGCTGGCTCGCCTCCCTCAAAGATCCCACAGGTCGTCTCGCCCGCTGGGCACTCCGCCTCCAGGAGTATTGTTACACCGTAGTGTACAAATCAGGAAAACTGCACAAAGATGTGGATTGTCTGTCACGCTACCCTGTGGCCGACTGCGATCCTACGAGCACTGATTCTGTGGGCTGCGTCCTTTCCACCTCCCAGCTGCTTCATCTCGGGGACGAGCAGCGTCGCGATCCGGATATCAGCCGCCTAATACAACAACTCGAATCTTCACCGCAAGACGCTTCCGTTCGCATGTTTACCTTAAAGGACCACACCTTATATCGGCGTAATTTATCGCCCCATGGTCACGACCTACTTCTGGTCATACCAAAGCACCTGCGTTCTACAGTCCTACGCGAGCTCCATGACGCGCCAACCGCGGGTCACCTTGGTGTCTCTCGCACATATGACCGTGTACGCCGCCGCTTCTACTGGCCTGGCCTTTCACGTTCTGTACGTCGCTATGTCAACGCTTGTGAAATTTGCCAGCGTCGCAAAAAGCCGTCGAGACTACCTTCCGGATATCTTCAGCCCATCGACATCCCATCGGAGCCATTCTTCCGTGTTGGTTTGGACCTTCTCGGTCCCTTCCCAACATCCGCCTCCGGAAACAAGTGGGTCGCGGTGGCTACGGATTACGCGACCCGTTATGCAGTTACGCGAGCCATGTTAACAAGCTGCGCTACAGACGTCGCTGATTTTCTACTACGCGATCTCATTTTAGTGTATGGAGCCCCTCGTCAACTACTGACAGACCGAGGCCGTACGTTCCTTTCGAAAGTGGTTGACGATATCCTGCGTTCCTGCTCTACCCAACATAAGCTCACGACATCGTACCACCCCCAGACAAACGGGCTTACAGAACGTTTAAACCGCACCTTGACAGACATGCTATCGAAATACGCCTCGGCCGACCATCGTGATTGGGACCTTGCACTACCCTACGTGACGTTCGCATACAATTCCTCCCGGCATGACACTGCCGGGTACTCGCCATTTTACCTTCTGTTTGGACGCGAACCAACATTGCCATTGGATACCTTCCTGCCAGCCGCTGCGCAGTATACTTCTGAATATGCACGCGACGCTATTACCCGAGCTGACCATGCTCGTCAGCTTGCCCGCAGCAGATTAATGGCGTCCCAAGACTCGCAGAAGCATCGTTACGACGAGCGGCATCGCGACGAACACTTTCCAACAGGCTCCCTCGTTCTTCTTTGGTCCCCTACGCGACATGCAGGCCTGTCAGAAAAACTTCTCTCTCGTTTCACGGGCCCATACCGCGTGCTTAGACGAGTGACCGACACTACATATGAAATTGTCCCTGATAGTCCATCAACCTCTTCCGCTCTGCTGTCAAGGGACATCGTCCACGTATCAAGGCTCAAGCATTACCACACTGCTCCTGCTGTGGCCCCGTAAACTCGCCGGGTCGGCGCTTTTGCCGCCGGGGGTCGTGTTACGTGATTTCGTCTGACTGAAAGAGGGCATAGTGGGGCATACCCAAGTAAGATGCCTCGGACTGAGAGTAAAGGAGTGGACGTTGTGAGTGAGCTGCGTTGTGGCTGCGGACCGACAACTGTTATTTTCCACGTAACAATATATATTTATATATATATATATATATATATATATATATATATATATATATATATATATATATATATATATATATATATATATATATATATACGACGAATGACATCGACGCCGGTGGCGAAATACAGCCAAGAGTGTCCACATAATTACTATCGCAATAAAATCAACCGAGAATGTTGGATTGAGTTAATACGTCCGTTTGTGTAACGTGGTTACGCAATTACAATCGGTGTTCTTGCGGTCTTCGGCGGTAAATTCGCCGGTCAAGCTATCCATTATTAGTATTTAAGCATACAAAAAAGATTTTAGACTGCGAGAACTGCTACAGTAATGACACACTAAAGCGATAAAAAAAGGGATGTGGGGATTAAGAGAGACAGAGGTGGAACAAGAGTCATGTGGCTTGTGTGTTGCGATACGGAATAAAATAGTGGAAGTACGCCGCTTTTCACTTGCATGTCTCCGCCTTACTGTACCTCTTCCAAAAATTATTTTGATGGACTACGCCTTCATTGCACAACCAAAATATGTTTTGAGACCTCAGGAGAGGTGTTTTACTCTTGAAGCGTTTCAAGGAACGTGAAAACATTGGCAAGGCTAAAACGTTGATGGGCTGGTTAGGCCTCCTATTTTCGATTGGCTGATGATACAAGTTTTGCGGATGTGGATTCATTCCAGTACCAAAAACGCAGAAAGAAGTATACATTCCAGTAGAAGAGCGCAAACTTGTTCACGGGAAATGCTGGTTAGAAGACACTGTGTTCCAAGCTACGGAGAACATAGATCTCATGTTAGGATGCATGCACTTCCAGCAGCTTTTTTGGGCGATGAGTTGCGAAACGCTGTCTTTTTTTTTCCAGATCACCCAAAAGTCCCCATCACTCAGCCGCCTGTCACTGAAGGCAGCCGATTGACGGAAGCGACGGGTACGCGTTCCTATGGAGGTAAACCGACAGCCATTTTTGGTCCGTTGGGTCGAGCGGTTGACTTATAAGCAAGTTATCACTAGAAATTTGGCGCAGCAAGGAATGATGGCTGTGAATTGGGATTGAAGTTATACCAAAATTTTTCAATTTTTTTAATTTCGCATGTGGATATATATACGCGCACACATACAAACGCAACTGTGAACCTGAGTTTGAACCTATGCAAAGTGTAGTTTAAACCCTTCCCTCCTTTTCCTGTTAGCTCAGAAAAAAATTTCTGGCTACGCCGGAGGTCTGTATACTCTAGCACATCCTAAATCCTAAAAACAGAAAAGTGTTGTTGATCCTTCACTGATGTAGCGGAATAGACAGAATATTTAGTTTAAATGCAAGGTGTAAGAAATCTGAGTCAGCCGGTGCACATCTACTCGGAACATCGCGTAGGTAGCCAACGTAGTGGAATGGTGGATGATAATTGTTGTTCACCCACCTCTTACAGGTCACACGGATGCTTTTGCCATTTCGCCGTTTACATCTGAAGGAAGGCTATCGACAGAAACGACGTACTCTACCGCAGGTGCGATGACTGCTTCTTGTAGCTTATTTAAATCGTTTGTTTTTATATCTAATGTGCTTACTGGCCAGCCTCGGAAATAAGTATACTCCTCGGAGATAAGTACAACATTGTATACAGTGTCCTAGATGGGTAGATGGGAAAACTTTATGGAGGTTCATTAGGTCGGGCTATAGTTTCTCCTTCAGATTGACAACATAAATGGCGACAATATTTCTGTTATGTTTTACTGCTTAGCGCTTGCAACGGAAAGTATAGCCTCTTTTTCAACAGGACAATGTTAATCTTTATCTATATACTAACAATTTGCCGCAACTGTCTTAAATTGAGCACTAAATATAGCATTGCGAACGAGATGGTTGTTCAATGTATTACATTGTTAAGATACCTTATTCATAGATCCGTGACTGGGGCGCTGTTTCGATTTAATTTACCTTCGCCTCAACAACCCGACGAAACGCCTAGAGGAGTCGTCGGGTTGTTTAGGCGAAGGTACGGCGACACGCCTAGGCTTGTCATTTTCTCCATGGTTGCGAAGCTGTTCCTGTCGAGTAACTATTGCAGCGCGATTAAAGCTTGTACATTCGATGGTAATAACAGCGGCTGTCGTTCGTTGCCATCGCCACGTGCTTTCCAGAGCCCCGCTTGCATGTTGTGACTGAAGGAATCCCTCCTATCTCGGGCTCGACGTGCTATCCTGGCTGGTCCGCTTACATCGATACCGACAACCCAAACACGGAAGACGGGGATTTCGAGTTTGTAAGCTCGCTGGAAGAAAGGTAGGATTTCTGTAAAATTTTATCACCAGACGGAATATTTCAACTAACGTCAATTTGCTTGAAATATATTTGTTAAAGACGTATGAAGGAAGGTAAACTTAAACTATAAGGCTCATTTTCTTTTTATTTGACACAACTTTTTGACAAAGGCAGCAGATGGAACATCCAAACATATTCCATCGAAGTACTCGCACGATACATTTATCACTGTAAACATGGGCATACCATAAAGCCACAGAGTTCGGCAATACACCAAAAACTACTCACTCCAAATTTCACAAGCCTTAGTGCACTGTCGCCCCTCGCCTCAGATTTCTATATACCTTTGGTAAAATCCCAAGCACGACATTTACGCTGATGTAAATCTTATTCGCCATGTCATGTGTTACTTACACAAGCCAAGCATTCAAGAATATTTCAGTTTTAATTTTATTCAAAGGTATCCGCCAAAATCAACACATTCTCGTATAAGGTGACGAAAATGCCGAGCATTTGCGCTCGCGTTAACATCGAGAAGTCGATAGGCTAGGTTGGGTTAAGTGTTAGGCGAGATATGTCGAGCTCTCGAACCTTCGTGAGCCGCCGAGTCACCTGTGTTTTCCTCACCGTGCTACAGGGCTTGCCGAGTTGACGAGATGAAGGCAATCGAGTGCAAGGCCGTCCGAAACGACACCGGAGAACTGATCGACTGGCTCGAGACCGGCGACAAGGGCGTCACGTGTCTCAAGGAGAAAGGCCTGCTGTGCTTTAACAACGACCAAGACGAAGGAAGGCAGTGCCACAACTACAAGATACGCGTTTTCTGCGTGTGCAGTGAGTGTTTGGCATACCTTACTGTCGGCGGTTCATTGGTGTAATCACGTGGAAGGTAGTTGCTGCCGAATACTGCACGTAGCGCGTGGGCAGGATTACCACTGGCCACTATGGGTAACTGACTAGATTCCAAGAGAAGACAAATGCACGAGGGTGAGGCAGGAATTTAGGTGGACGGATGAGATTAAGAAGTTTGCAGCGCAACGGGGCAGCAGAAAGCACAGGAGTGGGTTGATTGGTGGAATACGGAAGACTCGTTTGCCCTGCAATGGGCTAGCCAGGCTAAAGATGATGATTTCGGTTGGCGGAGGCCATTGGGATGCTAACTTTTGTAAACTGGCTCCTACGATTTGTTCTTGTTCAGCGATGCCGAAACACTCTGGTGATTGTGTAAAATGAGACCTAAATGGCGCCCGTGTAAAAATGGAATGTATTTTTATTTTCATCGATACAATAAAGTGGAATAAATGAGATAAAAAGCCGCCATATTGATGAGGTTCCAGCACTCATTACAGCAGCCGATGCTTCGCGGACGAACAGCTTTGGTTGCTTTGCTTTTTTTCCTTTCTCGCTATGGGAGCGGACTTCCTTCACTATATGAAGCCTATGGTTGCTTTGTTAAATGAAATCTGAATATTAGCCGAGACTGGTGGCGGGAGCAATAGAAACAAAAATGGTACACAATGTGCATATCTATAAGAACTTCGTAGATTTAATTGGTATTTTCTCAACGAGTAAGGAGTGATGCTTATGGTATTGCGCTACTTCAGCTCACGGATGCATCGATATGAGAAGCTTCTCATTCTTCCGAAAGGGATAACGTAACCAATTTTAATGCAACTTATTTTGGACAAAGATAATATTTCATGGACTGAAATCGCGTATTTCGTGTTCCCGTATGTGGCAACTAACTTCGAGTATCGGTTGTGTTGATCCCTTTGTCGCGTTATATCACATAACGAAAGAAATATTTTAGGCTTACAACATCAGAAAATGAAGTGAACAATGTATCAGCGTACCTTCTATTTCCCCACATAGTAACGATATTTTTTTTTATATCGTACGGTATGTCAGTATTTCTTTCCTTAGAGAATAAACGTAGTCTTTTTCGCGTGATTTTATCGTGTTCAAGGTTTAAGCTGGTTTCCTCAATTTGTTATTTTAATGTTGCCACATGGGTGTGAAGGTGGCACTTCAGAAAAGATTACTGCCACAATAGCAGCAATCTTTTGTGCTCCGTGTGCTTCCAATAAACAAACAGGGACGAGTCAGTGCTGCGGTTTATCCCTCTCTTCTCTTGGACCGCGTCCCGGTTGTGCTGTGTTCCAGTATGTTGAAGAACTGCCACCAACTGGCTCGGCTTTGGATTCTTCCTCATCTGCTGTACCTTTCCTATGTCGACACTGGTATAGAGCTGTGTCCTTAAATCTTTCTTTCGACTCTTACACTCTTGATTTATCTCGCTCAGCTCCAGGCGATGTCCCGCCAGTCTTCACGTTGGTTCCAACCACGGCTGGTCTTCCGACAACTACCGAGGAGGCGCTGCCGATGGACGAAGGTTGGTGTGGCTGGACAGAGTGGATGGACACCGATGACCCTCATACTTCGCCCGAAGACATGGGAGACTTCGAGATCCTGGAGGAACTCGGGGTGGGTTTATTAAACTCATAGATGGCGAAAATGCGCCTGTAAATTGATCAATATACATACCAGTTACTTTTCTAGAATCTTTTTACTCGTAATAAAGTTGCATCACAAATTAGAGCTCGTGAGAACAACATTATAATATTATTACATTACAAAATTAATTGTTGCTTCGACTTTATGAAAGTTTAACAAAAGTTATCCAAGAAACGTTATTCAAAAGTTCGAATTTCAGTGCTACACAGCTTTTATGTGGGCCGGCCTTCTTTCTATGCTTGGGGTATGGTGCTCAGATTAACTTGTCTTCGATTTTTCTTTCATTTCATGTCGAACTTTTTTCACGTGATAAGGGAAGCTGGAATGCTTTTTTTAAGTAAAAAATGATTGATATTGCAATAAGCAATTTTAATGAAATTAGTCATTCGCAGTAATTAATCGCATGAATAAACTACCAGCCCCCAAAACTAATTCACTAGTTAAGGCAGAAAGTAATTCAGTTATGGTGATTTCATTACTGCCAAGTCTGTATAAATGAGTGTCCTTCGACTGGCATCATTGACATTATAATAACAAGAGTATATGCCTCTAACATAAGAGTCGTGTGCTACTATAATTTTCAAACCACTGTTTCTGCTATGGTGTCTGGATGACCCCGATAAAAACTGGAGCTCACTGAGACTCCCTCAAGAAATAATCTTTTGTGCTGACTCACTCGGACTCAGTCTCACAATAGTTTTTTCAATCGAACTCGGGTGTGCTCACGCTCACCAAAATATCACTTCCCGGGACTCACTCAGACTCAAGACTCGATCCGAGTTTGAGTGGGTCGACTCATGGATGAGTTTTCCGGCCTATACGGGACAAGCATATTGAGTAAATCGAACCAATCCCGAAAACAAGAAACGAAAATTTCGCCAGTTGCGCATGTGGAGTAATCGAAGATGTCAAGCTGATTCTAATACTGTTCCACAATATTGTTCCACAATACTGTCAAGGGGGGCGTCCCAACACGCCTTCGAAATATTTTACGCCGTCTGATGTGCTTGTGGTGTTATTACGCCTGCACTTTACTGAGCTTAAAAAGATTCGGATGTCCAGATGCGTGCGAAGTCATCAAATCTTGTCGTGCAGGAATTCGTAAAGCGAATGGCTGGATTGACAACGCAGCTTTGCGTTTAAAATGGTCGGAACGCAATATCAGAAAGTTGATTATAGAAGTTATAGGGAGTGTTGCTTGTAGTAATTGTGATGTAAAATTGATTAAAGTAAAATAGACCAAAAGATGACTTGCCGCTGGCAGGGACCAATCCTGCGATTGGTCGCAGGTTCTCCGTGAGCAAAAATTCGTAACAGATGCAAATAAATAAATAAATAAATAAATAAATAAATAAATAAATAAATAAATAAATAGGCTCGAGCGTTCACGCACACAAGTTTTTCCTTGCAACACGGTTGAGGTGTTCAGCGATAGATGAAGGGAGGCTACTGTCTTAAAAGTGATCTTAGCGCGTCAACATTACGCTATCGCGTACTACTTAAGAAGGCCTAGCTGAAGCGTCGTCAAACTTTTTCAACAGCTCTTCCGAAACATTATCTCCAGACTTTGACAACCATTCTTTGATAAAATGCAATTTGTTTTTTTTTTTTGCAATTATTCTGTTGGCTTGTCGGTAAGCGTAAAAAAACTCCTTGCTTGCGGGTCTATTCATTCTGTGCTTCGCGCGTTTGTCGGCAGAATCGGTACAACTCATGCGCACCTGGTCACGTGGATAAAATCGAGTGCCGCGTCAAGTCCACTGGCCAAGACTGGACGCAGAGCGGCCAGAGTTCTTTGTCGTGTGACACGAAAATGGGCTTCCGCTGCTACAACAAGTTCCAGCTCGGCGTTTGCGAAGACTACGAGGTGCGCCTGTTCTGCTCGTGTCCAGGACCAGGTAAGCTTATTCGAAATTCTTATATGTTTTCTGTTCATAGACAAGAAGCGAGAAAGAAAAAAAATATTTTAATGAGAAGCTGGACATGCTTGCCTTACATTCTAGCTTGACTATTTGCCCAACATTCTACTCGGCGTGCTGGACGATGACTATGATATATGCACTGATAAACACATAAACACATACAGCCACATGCAGACCACACTGTTTACAGAGTTTTGTTCTAGCTCGTGCCCCGCAAGAAAATCAACGGCGCTTTCGCGGTGCGTAATAGACAGGCGCTACCATATTGCAGACCATTTTGTGATTTCCTGTTGCAGTTACAGATAGAAGGGACTGATTGGACCTTCTCGAGTGTAAGATATTCAACAGTTGTTCGGGTACCTGCGTTCATATGTCATCGTTACCTTGATATACACTTGTTTCATAGATTGTTTTTATGATACCCATCACACTCACGTAATTTTCCCCGCTTGTGTGTTTTCACCTTCTGAGTCGGTACAGAACAGCGAGTTGCATATTCACTTCTCGTTAGCCTGGGTATCCCGTATGGAGGAAGTTTGACCCCCACTTCAAGCTTTAGGTACACGTGAAAGGCAACTATGTTTTGCTGAACCACAGAACAGATGTTCACGAAGTTGACGATTTTTATGAGGAATATAGCCGGAGCCTGCTAGCTGAGGAAAATAAAACATTGACTTAGCCGTGACATGCCTGACAAAAGTTCCTAAACATTGACAGTGTGTATCCATATTTGAACTTATCTTAGCGCGCACAGAGGACGGACATATATATTTTGTTCGCAGATAAAAACAAACAAACACGTGAACGTACAGAAGCCTTTCATATAAATAGGTGTGCAGAAAAATGCACAAGTCAACCTTTGGGAGCTCTAACAGATCAGGAGTCGAGTTAATTTTTAAAGTTCCATTTAGCCTTATCTTTTTTGTTCGCGTGTCACATTACTTGCGCCGCGCATGCTGTATGCTGGTTATCGCTTAGTTATATGTATAATTCCTCTCAAAAATAAATAGTTGGGAGTTAGTGCTCGTCTGTTGCTTTCTTTTTTCTGTCTTCTGTGCACGGTAAAGAATGTTATAGTATAGATGCGTTCAAACAAACTCAGCTGACAGTTTTACTGTATTGACAGTGAAGAAAAAAAATGGCAGCATATCCATGGGGTGAATGATGGAGAGTGGTGTGAAGCATCCGTGCATCCATTCGTTCTTGCTTCCGTCCGTCCATGCGTCCGTCTGTGTGACCGTCCGTGCGTGCGTCTGTTCGTGCGTCAGCACGTCCATCCGTGCGTCCGTCCCTGTGCCTGTCCATGCGTCCATCCGTCCGTAGAGCCATCCGTGCGTCCATTCATGCATCTGTCTGTGTGTCCATTCTTCCATCTAGTCAACACTCCAAGTACCACCATCTCGCATCTTTTCATCATATATTCTGCATATAGAAGCACCACCATCCAGTGGACATTCCAAGGACTAAACGAGAGGTGGCACACGTGCACTTTCTTACGGCTTGCGCTTCGTGTCTACTTCCCACATTTGACCACCTTGAGTTCATGATATATATATGAGTTCACTGTATTCATGGCACTGCGGCCCAACGCTCCCTAAACCTTTCTAAAACCAAGGAGGTAACGCCCAGCGAGTATAACGTAGCAGCAATTTCTTTCAAGATAGTGCTCAATGTACATGTTAATGGCTGCTAATGGGGAATGAGAGACAGGAGAATTCGGCTTTTAGTTAACGGGCACGCTGCGAATTCGGTATTGTTCAACAACGTACAGGAGGAATCTCCCACCGGCACCACCTTGCAGGTCAAAGCGTAAGACATGTTACGTACTATGACGAGGAACGAACGGGTGCCGCTTTAAAGAGCTTCGCCCCTAAAAAAGGACAGAGCACAAGGCTTAAAAACTCGTACACTAACCGTGCTTTACTCTAGGTCATGTTAGACATACGCGATAAGAGAGCTAGATATTTCTTTGTTAGAAATATAAAGAACTATCTGAGAAACAAAGCAAGAATATGCGTCAGGGAGAGCCCTGCAATCAAATGTCACCCATGATTTCGCGGTTGTCTTCCTGTTGAAGATAACGCCTCTTGTACATTCATGTTAAATTTATTCTTCCTACTTCGCTTAATGTGGTGTGTCTTAGCGAACATTCTAGTCATTACGAAGTGTAGTAGAAGCATAATGTAGTTCTTGATTGATTTGTGGGGTTTAACATCCCAAAACCACCATATGATTATGAGAGACGCCGTAGTGGAGGGCTCCGGAAATTTAGACCACCTGGGGTACTTTAACGTGCACCCCGTAATGTAGTTCTATAGGCTACATTCATTGCAGCGTTATCTACCGAGGCAGTCACACAATCAGGCATGTTGGAGCACTTCTTGTCAGTGGTTCAGCCTGTCGAACTCTTTTTTTACTTCTCCTGTTCTGGGCAGACGTGTAGTCAGAAATTTTTTTCCGGGGTAGGGGGGCACTCTATGCCATGGCGAAAAAAAATTATGGGGGGGGGGGGGCACAGGTTCAGTGTGCCAACCCCTGGCTACGCCACTAGTACTGGGCAATCAAGCTGGGATATCATCAGACTAATCTCCACTATGTCTTCTTTTCTTTTCAATCATGTAATTTTACATATTTAGGCATGCACGTCCTATTTGCCTTGTGTGCTTTAAGTAATATCGTAACGGCACCACACGAAGGTGCAAGACATTGATTTACTTCACGTATGCACGATATAGAGATATAGGTAATAAAAAACGCAGTTATTGTTATGCGTGGAAGGTCATTTTGGTTTGCTTATGTGGAACGAAACTCTGTCCAATACTGCCTACTTTAAAAAAAAAAAAAACATTGACAATCTGCTTTGTTCGCTCCATTTACGTTAAACAACGTGAAATTTTTTTCTATGCATTTTCAGTTGTGCCAGAAGACAAGGGGAAGAAAACTACTTACGCCCCATCGACCCCAGTGACAGATCAAAGAGACTCTGGTAAAAAAAAAAAAACATTATTTTTGAAACGTTTAAACATATTTCATTCTCCTTAAATTAGCGACGTTAGTGAAGTGCAGCTGCAGGCACATATAGTCACTGGCGTCTTCCTGACGCATAAAACAAGAAAAAAAATGGGGGCAGTAAGCTAAGACCCGTGGTAGCGTCGCCTGTATACAAATTGAAAAAGTGAATAGTTATGAATAGTTGGAAGTCAAATCATCTGAAATATAACTTTTAATCTGCGTGTAACGCCGTTGCATTCTCGAAAAGAAGAAAAAAAATGGCCCCGAATCTGCATGTTACACTGCATATGTCGTCGAAAGACGATACTTGCGTCTGGAGAGAGTGAACAAAACGTTTATTTGAAGTTCTGCGCAAAAAAAAAAAAAAATGGTGAATGGTATTCTGGAGGTGCTGCGTTAGTGCCTCGAGCATGTAGCGGAGGCGAACGAGCGCATCGAGGCACGTTAGACACGAGCGCTATCTGGCAGTTCGAAAACGAAGGAAGGCGTGCGCGCCCGTGGAGAAAGATGCGCGCTTGTCTCGGAGGTGATAAGGTGCAGGTGTCACCATCGTGTCGTCTTAGCAAAGCGTTGGAAGCACTTACCTTTTTGAGCATCGCGTTGCACTGTCAGCGCAGCTTGATATAGACTACGGTCCTTAGAATTACTTGCATGTGCCTTCTCTAATATAAAGGCACACATACAAAACATCGACGCGTTTTTATGGTGCCTCAGATATGCGCAATGATTGCTTTTTAACTGACAATCGCACAAGTATGAACGCTGAATCTTGAGCAATATTGGTGGGCGCTGCTGATAGGATTGGCCGTTTGATGCCGTTTAAGGTATCGGTAAAGGTGGACAAACAGACAAATGTACAGACAGGCAGACAAAAATTTTTCTGTCGAAGGTCTTCAAGAAAGACAGACTATCGGCTATAAAACGTGGCGTTATCGACAAGGTTCCCAAAGGGTCGACGTATATGTTGGACGCGGAATGTCCAGCGTGCGCTCGACTTCAGTGTGGCTGATTCGTCATTTTTTCTGATTGCAGTGGCCACGGAAACGACGACCAAGAAGACATGGTTTAGTACACTTAGGACCACAATCTTTGGTGGAGGTGCGTAAACGCTATAGACAACATATATAGAAATTCCATGTTGAAACGCGGGATCTTGCCGTTTCTTTATTTTACCCTATGGTACTGAAACCTCGCTTTTAATGTTAGGTACAATAACTCTTGCGTATTTTTTTCTCAAACAATGAAATGTATTACCTGGGACGTTCTATAAAGTTGAGAAAGCTTGATAATTTTTCAACACTTGGAGTTTCTTAATACTGTGCGTAAACATAAATGAATGATTCCTTCTTTCGAGGAGGGCCGCCTTATGGCATATTTTCGAAGGAAACTTACGAATATGAGAGTAGCCATGGAGAGTGCGCAAACTTTTATATTAATATTTTTGCCTTTGAACCTTTCAAATAATAAGTGCTGTTTCATGCAATACTGCAACAGAAAGAAATATTCGTTAATTTTGGTCATCGAAGTCAGGAATTGAATAGAAACAGAACAGCATTGCAACAGCTATTGATTATAAACTATGAATGATTTGTACATACATACTAATAATAAACCTTGCTGTGGTGAGATGTCTTTATATTCCTGTATAGTCGATGTGTTATACACTCGATCCTCATACTTCTGCCTATTCGTTTTAAGGTTAAAGGGGCCCTGCAACACTTTTTGAGCATGGTCATAAAACACTGCCAATCGATAGTAGAGGCTCCCGACAACACGCGAGCCAAATATTATAGCACAGCACGCGGCCTGGAATTCACAATAAATTATCAGTCAGGTAAAATTGCTTTCTCTTCTCTCAAAAATGGCGGAATTTGCCCAAAAATCACACGTGAATTACCAGTCTATCAGGAATTGTTGGATTTGAACATGTGGCGATCGCTCGTTACAGAGATCGCCGCGGGAGGCCGTGACTTGTCCACGCGTGCGCGCGCGATCACACCGACAAAGTGGCGCACTCGAAGAAAAAAAAAAAATGTGCGTAAGGCCACCAGGCGCGTGTGACGTTTTTCTGTGGTCCTGCCATCCCTCCATGTTTAGCTTCCAGCGCTTTCGTCGGGACAAGAGAAGAGAGAATGCAATCGCAGCATTCAGATTATTATAGCCGAGAGAGAGTAGATGCTTCCGGCTACCGACGAGTACGCAGAACTGCGTGTGAAGATTTTAATGTGATATATACATTGATACCACATTTTTCTTCTGTATGCCCCACCACTTTGTAAAACTCCGTATTTGCAAGTACAAACCGTGTGAAAGTATAAATTTTAATGACCAAAAAAAAAGACTGTTTCTCAGAAAGGGCAAAGGAATGAATGCGATGGCAACAAGCTTTATTATTATACAAAGTTAACTAGGTAGCTAACTTTAATGCATGCACGTAGCTCTGCAACACGCTGGTGTAATAGAATGTGGCCGCTCCAGGGAGAGCAGTGGCTTTCGTACAGTCCCCTCGTGTTTCGAGCACATCATGTAAAAAGGTGTACGAGCCGTCCACAGATACCCGCCGAGATGGCACGTGTGCTAGCTATCGCGAATGTTGTGCCCTTATATTCAAAGTTCACAGTCTCTACTGAAGCAACACAAACAACAAACGACGCAATTCGAAGCCAATTCTCCTGCGTGCCAGCCCACTGTTCTACCACTGAACCACGGCGGTGCTTGAAACTCCGTTGCAAACTGACTCTAGGCAGGCTCGATGTCGGGAGAGAAATTGCGTTATTATGAGTAATATTTAGTTTTAAAACAGCCAAGAAACAAGCAATCAGGCGTCAAACAATGTGAATCACACTACAAGTGGGTCGTCGAATGATCAAACCCATTACTAAAGCTTCAGGCATAGTTCTTCATCGTCGTCAGCCACAGCATGAAAAAGTTGCACAAATTTCTTTGCAAGTGTGTAGTCGGTACCACGCTTCTCCTAAGAATGACGAAGGATGGTATAGTAAATGTCTCCTTACTACACAACGTCTATTATGATTTGTGACATTGTGGGTACCCTGCAAGTGCGCTTATAGCAGTTATCCAAGCAACGTTTCAAAAAAGGCTCTCAAAGACCACTCTTTTAGCTTTCGCTGTGACTGTACTGCGCATTGCGCGCAGGCCCGGAATTTTTTTTTAATGCGAAACAGCTCTCTGCCGTAACGCTGTCCCTCCGTGCGTCCGTACGAAAGCGCCTAAGCACGCTCCCCTCGCCGCAGTTTGTGCCAAGTAGGTCACGCTGCAGCTGCCCGTTGACGTTACGCTTGCCTTGCAGTGGGTGCTGACGTCACTTTCTCCATCGCCTGCCACGCGCTCAACGCAGCGCCCGCAGCTGCCGCCTCGTCCGTTCGCCCGCAACACTTGCCGCTACCGCCGCTCGCTCCTTTACCGCGACCGCCGCTCGCTACACCGCCGACTCGTCGGTTCACGTGCAATAAACGAATAAACCTTGCCAACCATCGCAAGACCTACGCCGGCCATCGCTTCAAACAAATCTTCTAGCCCCTCACCGCAGCACCCGCGTTAGCGCCGTCGAACCCGTGATGTCACTCGTGCGCCACACTGCTGCTTCGCATCCAATCAGGGTTCCCTTTGGGAAGAAGGTGTGAATTTTTTTTTTGTATCAGAAAAGAAAACCGAGTGCGTCCAAGCTTACACGTGATAAAAATGTTAGTGAGTGAGGTATATTACAACTTGCCATTAGCACAATATCAGAGTGGTATTAACTGTAGATACTATAACTAATGCTGAGAAGGAGCTAATACGCTGTAAGCTAATAATATGTGAGATAACGGGTATGATATACAAAAATGATCTAACTGGCATGTATAATGATCAATTATCAGCATCGTTCAGTATATCGTATTTAGTAAAACATTTGACTAAACCCAAAGCGTATGCTACACAATTTGGTACCTAGCGGCAGTCACTTGGTGCCGCTGTTCGGGCGGAAACCTCAAATAGGCTAGAAGAAAGGAAAATTCGGCAATGTATATTTAATCACAAAGAAACTTAAGTCGCATATTTCACGCGAATCGCTGTGCTGTTTTATTCAACAGTAGGTAGCAGTTAGCACAGGTCGGCTGTTTCATTGTGATTTCTTAAATTCCACAATGCATCTTCAAGCTTATACGATGGTGGACTGACATCGTTAGGCAAGCCCCTTACATGTTTTGTTCCCCTAGGCACCGAAACACCCACCACAGAAGTGACAAGTACAGTGGAACCTGAAAAGACCTCGACAACAGTGGAACCGGAAACAACACCTCTGTCTTCGGAGGTCACTTCCCCTGCACGAACAGGTATAAGATCAACGATGTGGTAGCTAGAAGACAAGCTAAACGTATATGCTTATATTGACGAGAAAACATACCCTAATATTATTATCATCACTATCGGCCTGCCACACATCTAGTGCTGGCCAATGGTCGTCCACGACGATCTACGATTACCTTTTTCTTGTGGCACCTCCTTCTTCAATTTAACTCAATTCAATTCCATAAATTTGTCAGTACATTGAAAGGTATGCTTGTATATCTCCTAATTTCATCGCACCACTTAGATATCCCCCCTTTTCCCGCTGCTCTTCCCTTACTTTAGGAGTCATTATCATACTCTGTCATCGGATTCTGTGATCGTTTATCGATCCTAAACGGCAAATCTCTTGCCCAGTCTCACTTCTTTCCTTTAGTCTCACACATAGCATAGGATACACATTCTTTAACCTCCAAAGCACGTTAACATTATTCCGAACATGTCTCCTGCCATTAAATGCCTGTCTTTGTATCCAATGCAGAGGAATCGCTGTCAACGACAGAAGAGCCACGCGGAGAACCTAGTTTATCGACTATCTGGGAACAGTCGACTGCGGGTGAGTGTCATAGAAGAAGGACTCAGTGGTACTGTTAGGTTAAATGAAGCCTCTCTGAGTGTATTTCATACTCTCAAAAATATCTCATACATAAGAAATAAACACTTGCAACTTAGGGCAAGAAAAAAATGGTAAAAAAGCGTGTATTGTGAAATCAGGTTTGTGGAAATAAATGAAGCACTGTTGATAAATGGGCCCTATAACAAAGCTTTGAAATAGCCGGTTGTGCTACTCTGAAATGTATCGGGAATATCCAGGCGTTCTGTCAAAGACCACTTCGGGTACCTTAAGGTGCCCATATTTAAATATAAAAGTGCTATTGTATTTCGCCCCAGCATCGTGTGAAAAGTTTGCGTTTCGCCCCAACAAATGCGGAGAATTTTCTTAAAAAGGGCACTGAAAAAAAAATTAGTTATAGAGAAAGCGTGTGAAATTGATTCTCGTTAACATACGTATATAAATTGCAAAATATCAACAGCGAGCATAGTTTGAAAGGTACTTTACAGCAGTTTTTAAGTTCAAATTTTGAAGCTTTTGACACTATACCTTCACACACACTGCAGTCAATAAAACAAGTTACGTTTACGTCATATATAGCCACCATTTCATTTTGCCACGTTTGTTCCAGCAGGCGATACTTCTCGCAAGTACATGGCCGTGGCGCACGCGTTGAAAGTTTGGTCTTTGGCGACTCTATTGTCCCATTTCCTGTCCGAAAAGACTTTTTAATGCGGACACTGTGAAAGTGCGTCATAGTTCGGTGTGCTGACTTGGTCGAGAGCTGCATCCGCTGTGTGGCGATAATTGCACCCGAAATCTTGACGTTTTTCGAGCTCTCTCACACAAAAACTAAAACTGATCGGTAATGAGGAGCCAGTGCTAAACTATCTGTCATACGCAGCAGCAGACGATGTGTTGTGTTATTACTAACATGCATCCAACAGCACATTGCAGCAAGAAAACGCGAGGCCGAAGTTTTTGAGTCAGTATCCCTTTAAAGAGTAAAATTCATCTTCAGAACCAAAATTTAGACGGCAAGCGCCCCCATATTGAAGTTCTCGTGCCACCTCGTCCTGACGTCACAGGTTTAGGCGGTGTTAATGGAAAAGAGTTGTCGAGGTTTATCATTAAATATTAATTGCACTCTATTGTAATAGAGTCAGTCGACAGGCCTTCTATAATGCGCAGTTTTGATGGAATTCCACAGTGTATGGAAACGATTGATGGGGTGATGCGATAGCGTTGCGCTTACGACTTGACTGTATGTCTATTGCAGGACCAACTACAGTTCCTGCAGCCGTCGAAACACATACTCTAAGCACTGGTGAGTCAGCGCATGTATTTTAGCGTTCGCTGTTATTTGCAAATACAAGTGATCCTGGTTATATCCCTGCCTTTTCCGTGATTCTGAAGCCGCATTAGCTTACCTTGTCCTTAGTACGTGTTTTATTATTATTATTATTATTATTATTATTATTATTATTATTATTATTATTATTATTATTATTGATCGTCTATACTTACGTTGTGTTCTGCGTCAAGGTTGCCTAGAATGTTGTCTTTCGACAATATTGGTGTGTCTGTTTACTATAGATAGGGGCCTGTTGTGTAAACTCACAAAACGCTTCTTATGCTAATTATTCGTAAGGCAATGTATTAGCCAGTCTTTATGCTTAACATATCATTAACGAAGGCGACCTACTAATGGTAAAAAGTAATCACGAAGGAATGGCTTCGTGAATTCGGCCCCTGTTCAGGAATGTTGAAACAAACACCTATAACTTTTAAGTTTCATTTCTTTTTACTCTTTCTTTATTTAACAGTACACTGCATATGACACCATTGCCGCCATGTATTGTTTGCGATAGCGGCTGGTCATTCGCTCTTCGCATGTATGCGATCACCAGGTACCGGAGCCTATCTTGTGGAGTCGTGGTTGTGTAACAAATCTTACTAGTTCGCTTCTTCAATTTGTTTTCGAGTATATACCGTTAGAATTCCTTGTCATTCGATGAACACGAGAAGTGCTCTAACTAAAGATTTTGAGAAAATGCCATGGAATATCGCTAAGGTCCGCATCACAGCTCCTACATTCGTTTCTTTCGTTAAGTAAGTTTAACGAAACTTATTACATACGCACCGCCCATTGAAATTTGACTCGTTGCTTTTGACTGGGTCTAACTCTGTATCATGCTTGCATATGATGCAATAGGAATCAATCATGTTTCTGCAGCAGAATATTGAACAATATGGGTACGACATTTAAGTAACATTGCATAATCACCACAGACACACTCAACTAGCACTTGATTTCCGAATTGAATGAATAGTTTGGAACTGTTGCTATTGCAGTACGAAACAAAGATGAAGCTGAGCATTGCGAAATCTAAGTTTGGGGAATCATTTTGCAGATGCAACCACTACCTTCCGTACTACTCCAACAATCCCTACCACCGGTAAGTGCCAACATTGCTTCTCATAAATACGCCAATTAACGTTGTTTTACGTTCTAGTATTTACAACCAGTAGAATGCGCATTGGGGATCAGAAAGTAAGAGACTAAGTCGAAGCGTATAATGGTTATACAGAAATATGGAGGGAGCTTCAGAGAGCTGGAATTTTACGGGTTGATCATGATGATGATGAAAACTTCATTTGGGGTTAAGAGATTTTCCGCTATTAATCTTTGCTGATTATAAACCTTACGAAATAACAGTGGCCTTCTAGACGACGACGATGACAACAACAACAACAACAACATCAAAAGAAGTGCCCAAGATCATGGCACGTGCGTGGCGTTGACGCTTACGGTTGATTTACACGATAGTGAACTAGTATATCTTAGTTCACTTAATCTACACATATCTATGTGTAACTCCGCCCGTACTTGACGGATTCTAAAGATGTTTGCGGAGGTCGATTCATGAGGCAATAAGCTTCTTTTAGATGCAAAGAGCTCTTCGACTAGCCCGTGTAACGCTGTCCCTCCTTACACCCCCACTGCGCATGCTCGCGTCTCGCGCCGGCCCAGGAAGACACTCGCAAAACTGTCGCTCCCCTTCCTCCCCCTCGCCTCGCAAGGCCGACGCAGGCAGCGTCTGCAAGTAAAAAAGGAATCCCAGCATATCCGCGGAGTGAATGATGATGAGTTTGGCAAAGCGTCCATCTGTCTGTCTGTCTGTCTGTCTGTCTGTCTGTCTGTCTGTCTGTCTGTCTGTCTGTCTGTCTGTCTGTCTGTCTGTCTGTCTGTCTGTCTGTCTGTCCGTCCGTCCGTCCGTCCGTCCGTCCGTCCATGCGTCCACCCATACATCTATTGAACACACTAAGTACCGCTATCTTGCATCTTTTCATCATATATTCATCATATACAAGCACCGCCGAACAGCGGACATTCTAAGGACTAAACGAGAGGTGGCTACTACGGCGGTGACACGGTACGTAAGGCCCTCGGCATAAGGAGCTTCGTCCCTAAAAAACGACATAGAGAGGGCACTTTTAGTTTTAGATGCGGAAGCATCTTATACTCGCGCCTTGTAGTGCGCCGTCCGCGCCGTCCGCACCGCTTCTCGCACATTCGACAGCTGACGCGCGCGCATGCGCCGTCGCGCCGTCGCCCACCATCTGTGCCGCGCGCGCTTCTCCTTCGAGAACATTCGACAGCTGACAGCGCATGCGCCGTCGCGCCGTCGCCATCTGTGCCGCGCGCGCGCTTCTCCTTCGAGAACATTCGACAGCTGACAGCGCATGCGCCGTCGCGCCGTCGCCATCTGTGCCGCGCGCGCGCTTCTCCTTCGAGAACATTCGACAGCTGACAGCGCATGCGCCGTCGCGCTGTATATATACTCAAGGTCGGCGCTCGCTCGCTCAGTTGCCGCTCGTCCGTTGGTTTGTACGGCGCGTCGACGTCCGAAGTCGCCGTGAAATGAATGCCAACGAATCCACAAACAGAATGATCGACGTCCCTTCGACCAGCGCCGGCCAAACTGTTGGCGGAACCGCAAGCAAGTCGTCGTCGTCGTCGTCGTCGTCCGAAGACAAGGCAGCGCAGAGAAGAGCTCGCGACGCCGAACGTAAACGTCGGCGTCGAGCGGAAGATTCTCAACTTAGAGAACGTGAAGCCGCTGCCGCATCCTCCTCAGTGTTCCCCCGAGGGAAGCTGCGGGCAATTTTTTTGTTCACTTACTCGCGCTGTTCGAAATCTTTATTTTGGGTGAAATACGAAAATGCAAGATACCAATAATATGGAACACGGAGTGTCGGTGCTGGAGCCAACGCTCGGGCAAGGGGCCTCGTATTTTTTGAGGAAGACTTAAGAAGGCAAGGCGACTTGTCCAAATGTTGTCTCCAACACCGGCACCCCGTGGTTTATATTATTGGTATCTTGCTTTTTCGTATTTCACCTAAAGTGCATTCATGCTTCAAGCATTCATGATATCCTAAATTCCTGTGCACAAATCTGTTTAGATAAAGTGGTGAACAATTTAAAGTACTTGGTACTCCAATATGACAGAGCATAAAACTGTATTGAGGGCCTCACACTTAATGAGGCCCTGTTGACAAAAATTACGCCGTGAACTAGTTCACGACATTGACGAAAGGCTGGGCTGGAATGACCCTGATTGACCGTGAAAAAATATTCGCACATATCTCCGAAATGAATGCTTACCTTCTCATAGTATATCAAATATAAATAAATAATGATAGAACCAAACAGCGTACGTTGGATCATGAATCGTGGCCTTCTATTTTGTTCTAGTTAACAGCCTTTTCATAACCTTTTGGTTGTTCACAAATGTTCACACAGATGTTTCGGCTTCTACATATGCTGTAGACGCCGGGCGGCGGTTTATGGACGGAATGTCATTGCGTGGTCCTATAAGGTGCTTCGCCCCCCTGAAAACACGACCTTCAACGATTGTTTGCAACTTAACAAGGATAACAATAACAGGGCGTTTCCTCTAAGCACGCATATATTATGATCGTGCTCGGCGCAGGAATCTGTCCCAAAGGTCGCACGTACAGCGACTGCGCCTACCGCTGCAACCAGACGTGCAACCTGTTTCTTCGAGCCCTGGTGAGCGATCGGAAGTGCCTGGGAGACGACTGGTGCGTGCCCGGATGCCGGCCCACGTCGGGCTGCGAGGCGCCTCGCATCTGGCTAGACTACGACACCTGCATCGAGGAGGAAGAGTGCAGCTGCTCCTTCGAGGGGCAAGTGCTCGGGGTGCGTCACTTCTTTCCAATGTGACTCTAAATTGAACTGGCTTCGGGTGCGTCCATTGCTCATCCAAATCAGGAAGCTCGTGTGCACTCTAGCCCCTGTTTTAGTTTGACCTGAGTTTTAGTTTTCGTTTTATTGACCAAGAGGTGCATGTCTTGCTAGTAACAAACACATGAAGCCAACAAGTAATCACTTCAGAAGAAAAATAGAAGAAAGAAATCTGTCTGGCTTGGCAGCTTCAAGCGGCCAGCTGGAGGGCCCATGCAGGTTCTCCGCGGCTAGTCCCTCAAAAATTCTCGAATAGTTCTTTGCTTTAGCCTAAAGGTAGAACTGCTAAGCAAAATGAAATTAAATGAAACAAAAAATAAAGTAGGATAAGTATGGGAAGGACATGGAGGTTGGCCAGTTTTCAGACCAGATGGATACACTGTGCTAGGGAAGGGGAAGAGAGGAGTAAGAGATGGCAGAAAAGAGATTTTAAAATAAAAGAAGAAGTAACAATATTACGAAAGATGACACTGCTTCGAAAGTTTTACATGAACTTGAAAATCACCCATTGTCGCAAAAAAGGGTCTTAGGGCACTGGCATAGACCGTGCTCGGCATGCAAGGCATTGAGAGCGTTGTTGCGCTTCTTGCGGGCAACTGAACTCAGAGACAGACTCTAACAAGGAGGCAGGTTGTCATACGGGCGAGCCCGATACTTTACTTCCTAATTACGTATGCGCTGTTCTACGAACTGTGCTCTGGCGGCCGCTGTCGTGTCATTTCCTTTCTTAGGCCTTCGTGCTTGAGCACTGAATAGGGCCTTCGAGTGTAAGCCAGTGACACTAACTGCTGTAGTACATATTTTGTTAGAAATTAAGTTGTGTAGCACTGAGATAACAGCGTGTCCGCGTCCCTCCGTCACGAAAAGAAGGAGACGCAGTGTTGTCTGGGTAACGCATCGGCAGAGAGTAATGTTGGCATCGACATAGAGTAATGTTGGCTCTATGGCATCGGCGCAAAATGCAGCACGTCGCATTTTGCGCCGGTTGCCGTCGGGCCGCGCCAACGGACGCTGGTCGCACCTGACATCATACTATATAGTGTTCGCGTTTTGCTAACGTAGCGTCGCTGTGCCCATCGTGCGCGCGCGTTAACGCTACATTGAGTATATTGGGCCCTTCATGATGCGCTCGCGGCCATTTTGCTAGCTCCGGATTTGCCGAATTTGGTGTTGCGTGATGTCAATGTATGATGAATTATATAATTGGTGCAAACATGATAATTGTGACACGCGTGTCATGTAATAACATGACAACATACCGCGCTCATAGCATACTCACGGCCGTATACGCTAGCTCCACATATACTAAATGTGGTATAACGTGGCGTGAATAGATGACGAAGATAAACGACACATCCAAACATGATAATCATGACACGGAAGTCATGTACGGCATCATTTACTTTCACCTCGTAACGTTGTGTTGATTTTAAAGTGACATATCAACATTTCTCATTCATGCTTCGCATATCATCGATTCCCACTGTACGTGGGATCTGCTAATTGTTTTCAAGTGACCGCCATTTATGCGTTCAAATCCCCCCCCCCCCCACCCCCGTTTTTTTTTGTCTCTTAACAGGCCAACCAAGTGGTGGATCGAGACTGCGAGCGTTGCATCTGCCAAGACAATCAAATTGTGTGCGCCACTGAACCGGACTGCCGGCCACTGCCTACGGGTCTGCCACAGGTTTCCGTGCCCACCACAGGTTAGCATGCCACACAAACTTAACGAGTTTTAGTGAATGTGTCACTGAGGCGTTGATTTTTACGCAGTTTTTTTTCTTCTTCTTGAACTGTAGGCAATATTGTAGTGTTTTCGTTACAGTATTACCATTTGACGTTTGCGTACATTGATTCGAAAACGTTTTAGATATTGCCACGTTCCATTTCCCAAGTTTTGTTATCGTCCCAAAACACTATACAATTCTCAGCGCAAACCGCGCCTGCAGTTTTCGAGAAGCTTCCGGACTGTAGTAGACCATTTCGATAAGATCACGCCTACTCTGCGAACTGTACAGATTATTCTGGAACCTACGCCACCGCCAGCGATAACGCTAGAACATTCGACGGCAAGAGTATAAATGCCGACGCGCTTCGCCGCTTGTCGGATGTTGATCAACGGCCGACGCTCCGTTCGCAGCTATCAGTCCAAGACTGCTACTGTAATCGGACTTTCCGTTTACCGGGCACAGGTTCGCCCAAATAAACAGTTCAATTCCAACGCAAAGTCTCCTGTCTTGGGCCACGTCACGACCCCGTGACATCTGAGAATTGTGTAGTGTTTTGGGACGATAACAAAACTTGGGAAACTGCCGTCGAATGTTCTAGCGTTATCGCTGGCGGTGGCGTAGGTTCCAGAATAATCTGTATAGTTCGCAGAGTAGGCGTGATCTTATCGAAATGGTCTACTACAGTCCGGAAGCTTCTCGAAAACTGCAGGCGCGGTTTGCGCTGGGAATTGTGTAGTGTTTTGGGACGATAACAAAACTTGGGAAATGGAACGTGGCAATATAATGCGAATTGCTTGATCAAATGCTGCGAAGAGTGAACGCTGGTATTCCAGAAAAAATAGATATGTGCCGACAACAAATTTGCGGTAAACCAACAGGACTGAAGCACCCTATTATTCTTCACACCACACCGACGTTGAACGACGACGACAACAGCAACAGCAAATTCACCTTATAATCGGCAAATCCCCTCCTATGGGTACGAGCCATTTGCAGAGGAAAACAACAACAGCTACAACAACAACAACAACAGCAACACACAACAACCAAATGAAGCGTTATGTACATAGAGGGGCAGTACACGCCGATAACGGCAACTCATAAGAGTGGCTCAAAGCTGACAAAATCAAGGGGTGCACTTACAGCGGGTCTAATATACGGAAATGTTTAAACCTAGATGGTTTTTTTTTGTACTTAAGCGCGTCTGGTCACAATTAGTCGCTTTAACATGTTATATTCCCGCATAACATCGACGTCTATGCCGGCATAACATCGAGCCCTTAGTGCCTTCTCGCACCGACGTGTAACAGTCTCTCGTTTAACATCACAAACGGCGTCTTTGAAAAAAAGCAACAGCGCTTTTGTTGCCCGTCGAAACTGGAATAGTTAGCCCATTGTCCCAATACCTTCTCTACGGCGAAACCGCTTCCGTTCTGTTGATGGAGAACAGTTTGGAGGTGAAGCATTTCGTTTGCGTATGTCGTGCAGTAACACAAAACTTTTCTCTCCTGCTCTATAACTTTCCTTCCCCTTTCCCCACTGCAGGGTAGTCTACCAGACTCAGCTCTGGTTAACCTCCCTGTCTTTTTTTTTTATCCCTCTCTTTAGTGCCTTAACAGACGCTAGCATCGAAAAACACGGCGTGCGGTCCATATCCTTTTTTATTTTTTTTATTTAATAATACTGTCAACCATCGCTTGAAGGTCATAACAGGGAGGTAGTACAATATGAATACAAACAGAACACCTAAAAAAACCACTAAGCAATAAACACAGGAAAACAGAATGGGCAGTACTTCAACCATTACCAAAATAAGCATCAATTTCTCGGTCAAAAGTTTGCACATCGGTACTATTAATAACATGTTGGGGTAAAGAATTCCATTGTTCTATAGTATCCGGGAAAAATGACCACCGAAAGATGTCAGTGCGAACGCTGAAAGGTTCAATGGGGGCATCATGATTCAATCTAGTGCTACGTTTTCCGGGAAGGCGAATGTACTCGTCTTTAGGTATTTTGAATATCCCTTGGATTATACGAAATAATGTTTTAAGTTTTTGTTTCCGTCTTCGAATTTCCACTGATTCTAAATTGCATGAATTTAGCATATCAGTTACTGAATCCCGCCTTCTATATCTAGAGCACACAAACCGAGCTGCACGCCTCTGAATACGTTCTAACTTGGTGACCAAGTGTTTCTGGTCCTTAGTCAAGTCCATGACCTTAATCAAATTTCGAGGAATAAAATAAGAGTCCGAGTCAAAATCAAACCCAGCAAACCCAGGTAGTCTGTGTGGCAGTCAAGCATGCTGCTAACGAACTATATACGATGGTGCTTGAGACCGCCTTGGAAATATACCCTATGCAGTTGGAATGGCGGGCAAGAAGCCGCGTCAACAGATGTATTAACCCGTTGGGGTATTACGTCCCAAAACCACGATAATATTATGAGGGATTCTACACCCGAGGCCTCCGGAAATTTTTGTCACCTGGTGTTCGTTAACGTGACCCCGATTCTAAGTACACAAAGCTCTAGCATTTCGCCTCCATAAAAACGTGGCCGCCGCGGCCGGGATTCAATCCCACGACCTTCGGATCGGCAGTCAAGCACCACACCCAGAAGACTACTGAGAATAGTGCGTGGCAGAAAGTTAAAATCAAACCAGGCATCACATTATATATGAATTGCTTAACGAATGCGTGGTTGGAAGCTGCCAACCCGCTACAGAGCACTGTGCTGTATTAATAATCATCCTCAACAACAATAAAAAAACCTATGTGATCCTTCTTTTTAGGAATTGGTATAACACGAAATTGAAACGCGTCCTTGCAGAGGTATAGTTGAGCATTTGTTTGGGCATTGTAATAAAGACGCACGAAATGCACGCACAGGAAGAGCACGAGCAATTGTCCCATTTCTTCCTTCTTCGTGTGTGAGCAGCGCACTCCTTTCGTGAACGCGCCTGCGGCAGCGAGCGAAACGACGTTCGTGCTCTTAACTACTCTAACTTCAAAGCAAACTTGTGGTGGAAGCACAGGAGGTAGGAAGACCCCGAATCGTGAGATAAGAGTGCGCGTGCTAGTGAGCGAGCACGCTAGAGAACATCTATATATGCACTTTGACCACGCCATACGGAAGGCGCGCCCGCACACAAACACAGTGCGCGCACACAGAAGGTTGGAAGACAATCTGTTCTCACTGACGCAGTGCATCGAAATAGCAGAAAAGGAACACAGGCACCTGTGGCTAGCATTTTTGAATATCAAGGGAGCGTACGATAGCGTGGTTCAAGAGGACTTGTGGGGAATACTGAACACACTAGGTGTGGAAGATGGAGTCACTAATCTTTTAAAGGAAATCTATAGAAGTAACAAGGTAGTTATAAAGTGGGAAAAACAGGTATCCAAGCCTGCAGAGGTAAAACGGAGGCTTAGGCAGGGGTGTCCTCTGTCACCCTTGTTATTCATGGTGTACCTACAAGGATTAGAGGCCAAATTAGAGAGAAGTTGACTGGGCTTCAACCTCTCTTTCGTCAAACAAGGAAAACTCATTGAACAGGCACTACCAGCATTGATGTACGCAGATGATATAGTGCTAATGGCCGACAACAAGGAAGATTTGCGGAGATTGATGGACATCTGCGGTAATGAGGGAGATAGGTTAGATTTCAGATTCAGCAAGGAAAAATCAGCAGTCATGATTTTTAATAATAATGAAAGTAGTGAGCTTAGAATACAGGAGGTCACGCTAGAGATAACAGATAGATACAAATATCTGGGCGTATGGATAAGCAATGAGGCTGAGTACCTAAGGGAACACGAAAAATATGTGACGACTAAAGGTAACAGGAATGCAGCGGTAATGAAACACATGGCACTGTGTAATTACAATAGGTATGATGTTGTGAGAGGAATATGGAAAGGGGTCATGGTTCCTGGTCTGACGTTCGGCAATGCAGTCTTGTCCATGAGATCAGAAGTTCAAGCAAGATTAGAAATTAAGCAACGTGGAATAGGTAGGCTTGCCTTAAGAGCTCACGGGAATACACCAAATCAGGGAGTACAAGGTGATATGGGATGGACATCATTTAAGGGCAGGGAAGCTAGCAGCAAGATAAAATTTGAGAAGCGATTGAGAGAAGTGGGGGAGGAGCGTTGGGCTAGGACGGTATTCAGCTACCTGTACATGAAGAATGTCGATACAAATTGTAGGAAGCGAACCAGAAAATTGACGGGTAAATACTTAGAAAACAGCAGGGGGCCAAGCCAAACAAAACTATCAGTTAAGAAGAAGGTGAAGGAAACAGAGACTGACATGTGGAGAATTCACATGATTAAGAAGTCCGCACTAGAGATCTATCGAACTTTTAAGCAGGAAATTGCCAAGGAAAGGATCTATGATAATACTCGGGGTAGTTCTCTACTGTTTGAGGCCAGGACAGGAGTATTGTGAACCGAGACACATCGGGCCAAACACGAAGGGGTAGACACGGTATGCAGTGCGTGTAGAGAGGAAGAGGAAACTGCCGAACACTGGATAATGTTCTGTAAAGGGCGTCACCCTATAGTTCAGGATGGTTGCGCAGAGTTTTTCAAAGCACTGAGGTTTAGGGACAGGGAGAGCAAAATAGACTGTAAGGGGGTAGAATTAACTAGAAGGAGGTCATCTGATTAGTGGCTAAAGTCAAGGCACGAGTGAAAATTAAACCCTTCACTGCAAAGTACGAGTCCTCAACCTCACTATTTAAAGGGAAAAAAATAAATCTAGTTTTTGGTTCACTAAGTATTACGGCTTGCTGGCGTTAGCCACTGCCTGATCTAAAGGGTACAACCATATCAATCAATCAATCAATCAATCAATCAATCAATCAATCAATCAATCAATCAGTCAGTCAGTCAGTCACGTGCGGGTGGCGCGGCACGATGCCCTTAGAGCGCACGCGCCCGTCGTGCCATCGCGCTACTGATGAAGGAAA